CCTACAAAATCAAGCCATAAAAGAATGAGATAGAGGAAGTTATTGGGATCACCAGCTGTGCACCCTTAAGGTTGTCATTTAACTTAAACTTAACCTTCTTCAAATACAAAGTGAAAATAGAACAAGTACCTATCTCACGGAGCCACTGTGAGGACTTGCAGAAGTAATTAAAGTTCTTAGCACCTAATGGGTGCTGAGAGATAGTGGTGGTGGCGTAATAGGAGTACAACTGGTTGCTGTCACTGGTGAGAAAAATGGGCTTAAAGAGTTGTTGTGTAGTCACCAACGTGACCAGCAGGTCCTCTGACACTCATGCTCTCCACAGCACACCAGCAGCCTAATCGTGGCCACATTAGAACCAGGTCACTACCAACATCACTACCAGGTCAAGGAATGCAGAGCTTGTTTTTTAAATTAAAATGATTAGGAGCTTGGTGATGACCAAAGAAAAGGAGCCATACTGCTGAATGAAGTCTAATTCTACCTTGGAAATGAGGAAGTCAGTCCAAAGAAATGTAAGGCTTATTAAAATGAGTCAGAGTTAGGAACACAGACAAGTCCCCAGTCAAATATATCCGCTGTAACCTTCAAAATGTTTATAGATACAATAGTAACTCAGGATCATTTCCATACTTTTGTTCAAGATTAAATAAACCAACCCTGGATGACTATTAGGTCATCCTGACCCCCTTATTGTAGTTTTTAGCCAATTGCTGCTGTACAAGACCCTCGGCTACACAGCCTTTCAGCCAGCGTAAACCTTTGACCAACAATGATGTAATCTTCCTCCCCATTTATAATGTCTGCCTTCAAAATATCAGTAAAACATATTTAGGGCAACTTGAACCGTGGCACCACACTGCATTCTTCAGATGTGGCCCAAATAAACTGCTTTGCTTTGCATGCTCAGCCTCCCCTTAGGTCAATAGGAACTTTCTGAAACCCAACATGAACGTGATTCTCCCAATGAGAACTACCAGTCTAGTAACTTTTCCTTATCAAGTTCATCACTTAAATACAGGCCGTACTAAATATTCTGGGGTTTGTCCTGAGAGGCATATAAAAATAGGTATATGATCATTTTTTCAAATAGATAATTTTTTACAAGTCAACAATGAAACAAAAAAGAAAATATCACATTTATAAGCCAACAACCACTAAACATAATGTAGTTTCTTCACACACAGAAAAAGGGAGGCAGCCGGCTACGGCAGCAAAGCCCATCACCTCCTTCCCGTGCTCCTTCTCAGGTGCGGCCCCAGCCAGTTCCACAGCTTGCGTGCTCTGCACGTTCTCCACCCCGGTCTGGCCACATGAGGCATGCTCCTTCCTGTCTGTAGCCTCAGGGACCTGCTCCTCTGTGTCCGAGTTCTCCCCTTCTTCCTGCTTCCACAGAGAAATCAAACACAGAATCAAACAACTGGGTGAAGAAAAAAAGTTGAAGGACCTCCACAGCAAGCTCTCCACTCCTCTCAGAGGAAAGACTGCAGGGAGGGATCAACCAGATTCCTTTTTTTGATTTTAAGACACTGGCAGTGCCAACTGGTGATGTATCCTCAAAGATTCAAGGGAGAATAAGTTTAGTGCTCCTCCACACAACCCCAAACTCTCGACTGCCCCAGTCTGCCTGCAGGTGCTCTTTTCTTGTAACCATCATTTTAACATTAAAGAAAAAGAAAACAGCCATCCCATAATACCTGGGGCTGGAAACCTGGCTCAACCTGGATGCCATTCTCTTCACCTTCCTCACTGGCTTCCCTGTCCTTTTCCTCCAGAGACTGCGGCTGCTCCTCTGAGTCTTCTTCAGGATGTTCTGTAGTATCTTGGTCTTGGTCATCAGCACCAGTGTCTTTCTCCTCCCCTTCCATCTTGTCATCCTCACTGGGGCCTTCCTCAGGGTCCTGAGGACCTTGACCTTCACTCTGGTCAGCCTCTGTCTCTTCATTTATGTCCTCACCTTCGTGACTTACTTCTTCAGTGTCCATTGGTTTTTCTTTTATTTCCAAAGGATTCTCTTCTAGAGAGACACCACAAAGAGGTGGATTAGATTTTTTTAAACTTACATGATTTCTTAAACTTGGAGGTAATTATAAGAGTTTTATTATTCTCTAAACCAAGATTGGCAAACTATGGTCCATAGGCCAAATAGATCTTGCCCTCTACATTTGTGTAAACAAAGTTTTAGAAACAGCTGCATTCTTTGGCTTATGTGTGAGTGCACCCCCATCCATTTTGGACTGCCTATGGCTGCTATCACACCACAACAGAACCAAGAATCTGCAATCAAAAGAGCTTAGGGCCTACAAAGCCTAAGGTACTTATTATCTCACACTTTGTAGAAAAAGCTTGTCCAGGATCAGCAGTTGGCATAATGGCTATTTCGCTGGATTGCCATGTAGTCGACAGCAATTCGAGTCCCGGACCTGGTGACTTAAATTCAAGTTGGGTGCGTGTGCATGCGTGCCCAAGATCCTGAGAGGAGAATGGAGGAGAAGGGATTGTGGCGTGGCCATCCCCCCTGGGGGGTGATTTCTTACTTTCTGTCTCTCTTTCTCTTTCTGGCGAGTGCACACGCCCTATCTCAAAAAAAAAAAAAAAAACTTACCCACACTTAAAGAGAGCTTAAGAGTTGTCTAATCACCAATGTGATCAGCAGGTCCTCTGACATTCATGCTCTTTCTACAGCACACCAGCAGCCTGAATTGTGACCATAACAGAACGTGCCACCAGGTCAAGGAATGAAGGACTTGCTTTTTTTTTTTTTTAAGTTAAAATGTTTAGGAACCTGGTGAAAAATGATTTGTAGAAAAAACCTGCCCACCCAGTTCTAAACCCACCTCATATTTTACATATTAATAAAGTCATTTCAACAGTGCATTTTACTAAGAAAAAAAAAAAAAAGACGAAGAAGTAGTAATGGGCTAAAAAATTCCATAAACCAAAACCCATCTAACTATTGGAAAAATTTAGACCAAATAGAAAATAACAGTTTAATGCTCAATTATCATTGCGAATAATTGGTGGATGTGATTCTTTATCAAAATACAACTCACATTCAAAAGGAAACAATCGTATTTAAAAACATTTGTTTATTTTATATGTATCTATGTATACACCCACGCACACACACATATATATTAGAGGGATGTTTGCTATCAGGTGTGTGTGCTCACCAGAGGGACAGAGACAGAAAGTGAGAAATCACTCCCAGAGGGATGGCCATGCTGTAATCCCTTCTCCTCCATTCTCCTCTGGGAATTTTGGGCATGCATGCACATGGCATGTTCTTTCTTTCCTCCCTCTTTTCCTTCTTTCCAATTTGACCAGAGAGGTACTGAGCAAGAGATGGAAAGTGAGAAAGTAAGTCACTGGGTCTGGAACTCAAACTGCGGTCGGCCATGTGGGAGTCCAATGCCCTTAACCACACTACCTGCCAGCCCCAAACTTGAACCACGGTCAACTATGTGGGAGTCCAGCAAGGCCATTACGCTGTCCACCAGTCCCAACATTTTATTTATTAAATGAGCTTTTCTATACTTTGGGCACTTCAGAAATCATTTATTAGCAAAGAGGTTTTTGCCACAAAATACATGCACTTACCGAAAAGAGACAGAGACATTGAGAAATCCCCACCAGGGGGAATGGCCAGACAGTAATCCCTTTTTTCCCATTCTTCTCTTGGGATCTCAGGCGTGTGTGTGTGCGCGCGCGCGCGCACACACACACACACACACACACACACACACACACACACACATACCTGGCGTGATTTTCAAGCTGCCAGGTATGGGACTCAAACTGCAGTCAGCCATGAGGGAGTTCAGTAACATAACCACTATGCCATCTGCTGGCCCCAGTAATTACTTTGCAGTTCATATACCCAATAACCCAAAATCTGAATTTTTTAAGGTACGGAGCTTACTATATTCAGTGCATTTTTAGTTTTTCTAAATATTTTTTAAAAGAAGATTTTGCCTTAGGCCTTAGAGAGACAGAGACAATGAGGATAAATGAGAAATCACCCCCCCCCCTCCAAGGGGGCTGGCCATGCCACAATCCCTTCTCCTCCATTCTCTTCCCAGGATCCTGGGCACACATGCACACGTGCCCAGCATGAGTTTTAAGCCACTGGGTCTGAGACTTGAACTGTGGTCAGACATGTGGGAGTCCAGCAACATAACCACTACACCATTTGCTGGCCCCAGCTGTCCAAATTTTATGCTTGCTTGGTTGCTGGTTTTAAGTCGAAGTCATATCCTAAATTAAATTTTTACATGAATAGTACCTCATTTTTTTTTCCTAATATGTTTTTGTTCCCTACTAATTTCTAAGTGTACAGCTGATTCATCAAACCAAGTGGGGCGAGCTCGTATCCTTCCGACTCGTTAACTAGCATGAACAGGACCTCATGACAAGGCACTACACAATGCTCTATAAGAGACAGCACTCCCTCACAGAGGCACCAGATGGAAAAATGGGTGAGAGACACTAGGTTACTGTCACGTGTAACTGATTCCTTTTGGGACTGATTATTCAGTCTCGTTACCCATTATAATGACTTCGTATTTCAGAATAAATACACAATAACCGAACCCATCACTTCTCTAAAAATCCATACTGGGTTCCTGACAGCCTGAACGCAGGATGTTTCTTTGCCTAAACCTGGGAGATGGGATACATTTTAACGGCAGTGGCGAGACTGAGCTATGAGTGGTAGAACACCACAGAACACAGTAGTGCCCAGAGAGCATAGGAAGTGGAGCAAGAGTGAGAGGTGCCAGTACCTTTCTCTGCTTGTAAGTCTACCCACACAAGAAACACAACAAAGGAAAAGCAAATCATTTCCTCAAGAGAGATTTATGGCCTGGCTATAGCACTGGGCTCATTATGTAGAGAAATTAGTTATTGCTCGTTTTCAGTGCGTTATTTAGGTTTCTAAAAGACATACCTTCTCCATCTTCATTGTCTGTGTCCTCATCACCACTCTTGTTCTCCATGTCAAGGTTCAAGTCATCTGGAAGGTCCAAGGCCTCAGGTTCCGGCAGCTTCTCCTGATTGCCATGGTAGGGGTCTACCTCATTTTCATCATATTCCCTCTTTAGAACAGTGGTAAGAATAGAGAAAAAATAAAAATTTTGAAAGATATAATTCACTGTGCTAGCCTCATAATCTACTAGTTAAGGGAGTTGGATTCTATTTATTTCAGCTGCCTGTGGTTCGAATCCTGGTCCTGGTGGCTTAGAAAATAGCAGGTATGTGTGTGCATGCCAAAATCCCATCAGGATGGAGAAACGGATAAGAAGGGATTCTGGCATGACCATGTCCCACTGCGGGGTACTTCCCCCCCCTAAACCCCCCGGCAAATGCGCATACCCTCTGGTAATTCAAATAACAACAACAACAACAACAATAAAACTAATTCACACTAAATTAGTTCTAAGTATTTGTATTATGCTGAAAAAATGCAATGTCTTGGGACCAGCACATGGCGTAGTGGTTATGTCACTGGACTCACATGTAGTCAACAGCAGATCGAGTCCTGGACCCGGTGGCTTAAAACTCACGCTGGGCACGTGTATGTGTGTGTGTCCCCAAAATTCTGAGAGGACAATGGGAGAGGAGAAATTGTGGTGTGGCCATTCCTCTCACCCCCAGGGGGTGTGATTTCTCACTTTCTGTCTCTCTGATGAGCACATGTGCCCTATAGCAAAAATCTCTGTTTAAAAAAAAAACTGCAATGTCTCTTCCATAAAATTACCTGTGCACATAAACATTTTGATAATATTTTTATTTTAATAATAATATTCTTATATTCATATTGGAATTTCAAGCTTTACTTTCTGTGCAGATTTTCGACGTAAGAGGTATTATGTTACTCAATTCTCAAAGAAATTTTTAACAAGAAATACAGAGAAGGATCACAGGTTATTTAACTTCCAAACTATAGGATGAGCCCACATGGCATGCAGACTACCGCATGATAATCATGCCAGATATTTTATGCCTTCAGACGCTTTGCCAAGCCTGCAGGTGGTGTGGTCATTAAGAAGTCCTGCAGGGCTGGACTTCTACATGGCCAACCATGGTTCGCATCTTGGACCTGGTGGCTTGTTTTTTCACCTTCCCTGGTGAGCACATATGCACTATAGTGAACTTAAAAAAAAAAAAAAAAAGAACAAGAATGAATAAAAAATATTAAGAAAAAGTTTTTTAAAAAAAGAGTCTCTGCTGCACATTTTTCTTAATGCACCAATGGAAGAGGAATCTCTGAATGAGGGGGAAATGTCCTGAGACATCCTAACTATGCAGTGCAGTGGCCCTGGCCTGAAGTCAGGCGGGGTGGGATCAGTTTCAAATCCTCATTACCTCATCTATTTGTTCATTAATTTTTTCTTGGCCTTGTCCACCATCATTAATTTCTGTTTCTTCCTTTTCTTCCTCCTTATGTTGTTGGTTTTTATCTTTGTTTGAATTCCCAGCATCCAAGTTATCATCTTTAGCAACAAGTTCAGAATCTTCCTAATGTCAGAGGAATAAAAAACACAAAATCACACTTAATCCAAGATACTGTTTTCACACGGGTTGTTTCTTCATCCAGCAATGACGAAGCTCTTAGGCCCTCGTAACTTCTGCCTGTTGGGCTGATCCCTTGGAAGTATCCAGCTGAAACAGTGCCATCCGTGGACCTGGAGAGAACAGTCATGGGCCACCAGGTAGCAGCAGCAATCACAGGTGTGTGATCAGTGAGGTAGGTGTGATGAGGGGTACCACTCTGTGCTGCTGCAGTAGACCCCCAGCACTGGAGTTCTCCCAAGCTGGGAGCTGGAGAATTCCAGTGGCCAATCAGAGAACTGATACTGATCATTTGCACTGAGTCTTCTTAACTCCTCTCCTATATAGCACATGGGATGACTCAGGTCAGGCTACTCTTTTAGTTCTAAATACAATCAATGAGATTGCAAATAAAAAAGAAAAGAGAGATGGAACAAAGAGAAGAAAAACAAATACAGAAAAGGAAGACTAGTAAATGACAAGAGTGTTAGGTGGTTAGGAAGATTACCTCCTCTCAGTCTAGGCACATAGGGATGGGGGTGGGGGGGGATCTTTTAATTACCTCATCCATTCCTGGTCCTGTTTCTTCAGTTTTACTGTCTTCTTCCTCCTCATCTTCCTCATCATCGTCATCACCCCAAAGCCTCTCATCTAGTTTGTCAGCTTCCTCACCATTGAGATCGCCCATCTGTTTATCCAGGTCTCCGCCCTCACTATCTGATTTCTCATCATCCTCTTCTGAAAGGGAAGGCACTGAACTTAGTTAGGCAGATCCCCACACTGCCCCAGCCCTGTGTGTGTAAGACAGGCATGGACCCACTCCGTGACAAGCCCCTGCCTGGGATTTACAGCCTGTTCCTCAGAACACCCTTTGGGCAGATGTCTTTAGATCTATTAAAGTAATCTTTTGGTGTCTGGCAAAGTGTGTGGAGGAATGCGGAAGTCTGTAAAGTGTAAACAGACTGGAAGAAGAACGGTGGAACAGCTGTAAAGATGCCTGGTTCTGGTGCTATTAGAGACTCAGCTACCGCACTGGGCTTTAGGTTTTGTATGTGGGAAATAACTGAGTTAGACTAGGTGATTTCCAGGGTCCTTCCCCCTAGTATACTACTTTGATTTTTTTATCCAACGTCTAAAATCAGGTCTAGATCAATTAATAGGAATTTTCTTGTCTGTCTTTGCTCAGAAGCTATGTAGCCAAAGATTATAACCTTATGCTTCTTAAGTCTTTTTGACTCTGAGGTTGGGTTTCATTTCGGCAGGATTTTCTTAGGATAAGGCACCCTGGAATAAGGTATTTTATATCAAATTAAGCTTTGAATAGAAATTGAGGTCAAGAGCTGAATTATGGTACGAACAGATGACAATGACAACATTCTGAAAGAAATCATAGCCTCAAATAACTTTTGATGACAAGGGTAATGTTCGTAAGATGTTAAAGGAAGAAAGCAAACTACAGAACTGCATGTGGTGTGTGTAAATATGTAATAAATGGCAAGAAATGTATCAAAATTAATTTAGTGGTTTGCAGAGTGGAACTCAGGAAAACCTACTTCTTCCCTACATTTTTGTTTTATGTTGTCTATAGCAATCTACTTATTCTCTAACTAGAGAAAAACATTATTTTAAAATCTACTCAGAGTTTGCTTTGCCTGAGAGCCATGCTGTGTCAGGTATCACCTCCTGGCTCTTCAGGGCCTCCCTTTAGAAGGCTACCGAGCCACTGCATCTAGTGCCTGAGGCAGCCAGAGTGTCAGTCAACACCTTGGTGTATTCAAAGAAGAATCTCCAGAACAGACTACAAACTTGTGCCTCAATGGAGCTGGGATGGCCCATGCAGCTGGTGAGGTATTCATCTGCAATTACGCAGAACACCAACTTGGGTCAACAGAAGATAATGGGCTCCTACTGAGTACATATAATTTCCTAGATTTATGTTTGCAAAACCATGAATGCCAGATATTCTCCAACCTTGTTCTTCAAGCTCGCCATCATGCATTTTCCCATCAAAGTCTTCTGACATTTCAATGGCATTATCCTCGCCCTTAATTTCTGATTTTGAGTCAGGATTTTCTTCATGCTTTTCTTGACCCTTCTGAAATGTATCTTCCACCTTCATAAAAAAGCATTAGAAAAAACATAATGAATGATAAATTTACTAATGTTTATTTCAGCTCTAGAATATAAATTCCAGGTTAATGGTTTAAAAAAAAAAAATCTCTGGTAGAGGGAAAAGAACCAACAGAGATAGTCACATGCAGTAATTTATAAAAAATTTGTTTTGCATTTCTGGAGTTAATTTCCACATTATTGTATTTATGATCAGAGAATATGGATTTCTGTTCAATTTTCTTCATAGGAATTATAAAAATAAATTTCAGAAATACTTTAAAAGAATGCTTCATATTGGGAACCAGCAGTTAGTGTACCGGCCATGTTGCTGGACTCCCACGTAGTCGACTCACACCGGGCGCGCGTGCGTGCGTGCCCAAGATCCCGAATGGAGAAGGGATTGCGGCGTGACCATCCCCCCTGGGAGGTGATTTCTCGCTTTCTGTCTCTGTGTCTCTCTCTGTCTGTCTGGCGAGTTGCGGGGGCCCCCCCCCTTTAAAAAAAAAAAAAAAAAAAAAAAAAGAATGCTTCATCTTTTGTAGGATAAAAAAAGATTTATCATCAATCTCATTATATTTGGTTGTCATAAGTGACTTTTTTGGGAACCCAATATCATCCAAATCATTCATATCGATTTTTGTTGCTTTGCGCTCTGAGAGACAGCACCCCTATGTAATGGTATTCACTTTTCCTTAATTTATGTAACCCCATAAAATGTATGTAGTATTTGAGGCAAAAGGATTCATAAGTCTATCTCTGTCATTTTGGTTGATCTCTTTTTCTTAAAATAATTATTTTATTAACTTTATTTATTTATTTTAATTTAATCAGAGAAGGAGAGAGAAAGGAAGTGAAAAAACAAGCCACCAGGTCTGGGGCTTGAGCCTTGGTCGGCCATGTGGGAGTCCAGCACCCTTAACCACCATTTTTTAATACAAAAGTAATAAAAATGTTTGGACCAGCCCATATAGCCTAGTGGTTAATGGCACTAGATCCCACGTGGCCAACCAAAGTTCAAGTCTCAGCCCCAGAGCCTGAAAAACACTGCCTGTACCTGTGTATGCATGACCCAAATCCTAACAAAATGGAAAAGTGGAAGAGAGTATTACAGCATAACCACCCCCTTTAGGAGGGGCTTTCTCCATCCCTCTTCTCTCTATGAGAAGTACATGTACTCTTTGGACATTAAAAATAAATAAGAAAATTTGAGTGTCTCATTAAAATAATTGCAAACAAATCAGCAAATTTCTCATTGCACTATTCTCCAAAACTTCCAAAGAAATTACCACCAGTGACATGCTTGTGTGGATGTGACTTTTATACATGAATAAGGCAACACATACTTAGTAATATAAACGTTATGTATCAATACATGCCTTTCAACATCTTTTTTTTTGGAGAGGTTCCTTTTTTTTTTCTGCTATAGGGCGCATGTGCTCGCCAGACAGACAGAGAGAGACAGAGAGACAGAAAGCGAGAAATCACCCCCCAGGGGGGATGGCCACACCGCAATCCCTTCTCCTCCATTCTCCTCTCGGGATCTTGGGCACGCACGCACACACGCCCGGCGTGAGTTTTAAGCCACCGGGTCCGGAACGCGAATCGCGGTCGACTACGTGGGAGTCCAGCGACATAGCCATTACACTAACTGCTGGTTCCCTCAACATCTTTTTAAACAAAAAAGGGATGATGCATTAAGATTGTTATACAATCTGCTTTTTTTTAAACTTAAAATATATAAGTAGGTATACTTTTATGTTGACACATACAAATGTATCTGATCTTTTAAAATTTTCCCTCCTAATTCTTTGGACAGTTTCACAATTTTACCATTTTATAATTGTGTAGTGAACATCCTATATAGCCAGACATATATCCTCACATACCTATTTATATTTGACCCTTCCTAACATTTCCATAAGAAAACATGAAATTATTGGGTCAAAGAATATACAGAATTTACAGACCAGCAGTTGGCGTAATGGCTGTGTCGCTAGACTCCCATGTAGTTGACCGCGGTTTGAGTCCTGGACCTGGTGGCTTAAACTCACACCGGATGCGTGTGCATGTGTGCCCAAGATCCCAAGAAGAGAATGGAGGAGAAGGGATTGCGGCATGGCCATCCTCCTTGGGGGTGGTGGTGGTGGTGGTGGTAGTGATTTCTTGCTTTCTGTCTCTGTCTTCCTGGTGAGCACATGCACCCTGTAGTAAAAACCTCTCCAAAAGAAAAAAAAAGGAATGTACAGAATTTAAATTTTAGCAGTGGACCAAATCAAAATCCTAACAAAATGGAAAAGTGGAAGAGAGTATTACAGCATAACCACCCCCTTTAGGAGGGGCTTTCTCCATCCCTCTTCTCTCTATGAGAAGTACATGTACTCTTTGGACATTAAAAATAAATAAGAAAATTTGAGTGTCTCATTAAAATAATTGCAAACAAATCAGCAAATTTCTCATTGCACTATTCTCCAAAACTTCCAAAGAAATTACCACCAGTGACATGCTTGTGTGGATGTGACTTTTATACATGAATAAGGCAACACATACTTAGTAATATAAACGTTATGTATCAATACATGCCTTTCAACATCTTTTTTTTTGGAGAGGTTCCTTTTTTTTTTCTGCTATAGGGCGCATGTGCTCGCCAGACAGACAGAGAGAGACAGAGAGACAGAAAGCGAGAAATCACCCCCCAGGGGGGATGGCCACACCGCAATCCCTTCTCCTCCATTCTCCTCTCGGGATCTTGGGCACGCACGCACACACGCCCGGCGTGAGTTTTAAGCCACCGGGTCCGGAACGCGAATCGCGGTCGACTACGTGGGAGTCCAGCGACATAGCCATTACACTAACTGCTGGTTCCCTCAACATCTTTTTAAACAAAAAAGGGATGATGCATTAAGATTGTTATACAATCTGCTTTTTTTTAAACTTAAAATATATAAGTAGGTATACTTTTATGTTGACACATACAAATGTATCTGATCTTTTAAAATTTTCCCTCCTAATTCTTTGGACAGTTTCACAATTTTACCATTTTATAATTGTGTAGTGAACATCCTATATAG